AGTAAATATAAAATGGAAGTAGTTTAAACTTAATTATTGGCGACATATTTGAGTCAGCATTGTGCAGTTGAAAATTGTCTTATTCTTGATCTGCATGGAATGGAATCAAATTTTACACTTGAAGCTAATCACAAAGTTAAAGTAAGGAGAGGGTTGTTAGGCTTTTAGGGTTGCAGTGAGACTCTGATACTGGGGCCATACTAGCTAGGGTTGATTTTTAATTGAATGAATGACATTATTTGCAGTGGCTACCTCTCATATGTCACACTCTCACTCAGCCACTCCCACGAATGCTAGCTTTTCAGATTCATTTTCCTTCATAATTGACATCCCTTTCCATATTAAGTTATACTTTGAGGGATATACAGCTAATATCAGGAAGCCTCACATTTATAGGTATATAGGCCAAATAAAATATTATATCTCTAGATGGAGTTCATCATAAAGTTATTATGACAGTTTGTGAAGGTTTTAAGAGTAGCTCTACAATTGCATTTGAAACTATTGTTTCTAACTACATCATACATATGTAATTTTTATAACCTGAGATAAAACCATGGTCACATTTCCCCCCTATAGTTCTGGATTGTGATAAACAATTAAACACCATATAATTCATTGCATTATTGAAAATTATTATAGGAGTAGATAAAAATAATTTGAATTCGGTTTTACTATCACAATTGTTAAAGCAAGGTATTGAATACAATGGAAGTGATAAGTTCATCAATGATTAAACGTTGAACACACAACAACTAAGAGTATAAGATTGGTCATCCAGTCGTGCTTGAAGACACAAAAGTCATGTTATTTCATCCACAAGGTCATGTATCAGGACGCATGGTCATGTTCTTTCATCATCCAGTAAAATAATAGTAACGTTGTATCAGATAATTCCTCAACTATGACACCTACTAAAAAAAATAGGGTTATTGTCATTAAAAGATCCTAAAAACTACTAGAAGTTGAGTCGAAAGTGTATCAACAAAAACATTTAGATAATGCATTTTTTTCCAAAAGAGGAGTGCTCCATTTATAAAGCTGAAAATTTATCTAAGTGTAGAAGTTATCTGAGAAGTGTCTTACAATTATTATTAGTATTATGTCATCATAGAGATAAAAAAAATATAGATGACAAGGGTAGCTAGCTACCACGTCTTAAGGCAGAGACTGGGCTTGTGAGCCCTATTGTAAGGTCTTATTCAGAAAGTCATCATATTTGGTATTATTATAAATGTTAATAGCAAAGAAGGCAATTTGTGAGGGCCAAGATACAGTAATACAATAATCTATATGAAAAATTGTTTGAGCTTGCTTGGCATGTTGGATTATATGTTGCTTAGTTTTAAAGTTGATGTTATATTTCAAGAACCATGGGCCAGAGAAATCATTCATCAATGGAACAATATGCATGTTATGTCCCTGTTATTACACTGTTCATCTAATTCTCTATCATCATTAAGTAGTACCATGGCCATCTCCATTTCTTATAGCATTCCAAAGGGGTCCATATACTATACTCCACAACACATGTTAATCTTAGATATGCAAATATGTCACATATGGTGAATATAGATATATGCGATAATAACTTTAAAGCTGAGAATCTGTTCATTCAAAACTGGAGCTAGAATTTATAATATTGCAATGCAGATCAGAAGAACTTATCTTTTTATGGCAAAACTATTTTTAAGAAGTGATTTTAGTGAGACTAAAAAAAGGAATATGTCAAATTTTGAGATATTAGTGACCAAGAGTACATGAATCCAAAAGAGAGAAAAAAAGAGTATTATACGAAATGTAATAAAAAATCAACACAAAATATTAATGAGTATTGCTATAAAATATACCCTCATAAGTTCTAAAGATCCTTTATGATATTTAAACAAAAGTGAATCCGGACAGAAGCCTAAAAATAAGGAAAAGGCTACAGTTTCTGGGATATGAATACCACTAAAATAGTAAACCCCTTTAAATAAAACACCACAAAAACATTAGAAATAGTGAGAGAGGGCCATGTACACCAACAACTATTGATAGAGTAAGATTCACTAAATTCTCATAAGTCAAAATATTTCTAATATTAATATTTGTTAGGAAAAATATTCACATACCCCAAAATTATGGAATGAGTGGAGGGTCTTAATTATAGAAACAGTCCCATATAATTGAGGCATCTTTTAACACATGAAAATCTCGAATCTGAATCCTTTCCATTACTAGAGGGGTCACAACTTGCCTAAAATTTTGGAAAGTGGCAATTTAGTTTAATGGCAAAAAATATATTTTTAAATAAATTAATTTAAAAAAAGAAGATAAATATCATATTTTTTTCATCTTAAACAACAAGCTATTTCACCCCATTATTAGAATAAGAGAATATTCACTACAACTTCACCACCATTCCCGTGTCATGACAGTTTTAAATAAATTACTTCATGAAAGAATGTACAGTTGGGAGATGGTGTTGTTCGGCTTCTCTGGACCGGTAACAATGCCATGATCGAAGAAGTTAACTACTATATTCCTTTGAAGAAAAAGCCTTTCACTAACATCAACATCAATTTAGAAAATCCTAAAAATAAATAAATGCTTCAATTCATATACCTAATAATGACACTGGGAAATGAATGAAAATGATGATGAAGATGTAGTTAAGATTTTCTCTCTCTCAAGATACCACTTGGGCTAGATTGCCCAAAATGCAACAATACTCTTGGAGACCCAATAGGATATACTAATTAGTAATTAGGGGTTGACAAAAGGCTTGGCCTAATGTAAAGCTTACCCAATTTATGGGCCGCAAATACTTCCACCCAAAACATTTACTGAACACCCAACAGAGAAAAAACAACAATGAAGTGCTAAATTTCGACCCAAATACCTAAATCATGAATTACATTTGGAACATGTTAAAATGTTTTTAGTATATTTCTTAATATTAATAGAGTACCAGATGTAGTCAACCTATTACACATATTGAAGAAATGCTCAATACAAATGAGATATATGCAACATGATACAATTTATACATTAACATCCCTAAAGCTTTTAAATCAAAACCAAGAACTCGCTTAGTTAATATCCCTAAATTTTTTAGTGTATAATTTTTCTCTAATTTATAGAAACCTAATTCACTTATATTCAGATATTAACTTAGAAAAAGTTAATACAAACTCTGAGAAAGAAGTTTGTGGAACCATCATGATTAAAGTAGATGCTGAAAGAAAAGCAAATGGATTTCTATTATTCTATATCACATGATTGGATTGGGTAAAGAAGAGAGACATGCATCATTCGTTTCCATAAGAGCACTAATATTGTGCCTTACTATTTCTGCACATATAATAATTACATTCACCACACAACATATAAGATTAATGAAAAATTAAAACAACAAAGACCATATAAGCTTGTATTATGTCAAGAATATCACACATATTTTGCTTTGTGATGTTATGACGTTGCTATATCCTCCAAATCTTCTCAACTTTGCTATAATACTGATATATTACAGTTCACGCGGTTTGTGGGATCAAAAAAAGCATAACCATCAATCTCACGTGATTTCTTTAACACTAAGAAGTAAGAACCTTTTTTTTATGCATGTGTCTTAACAACATTAGAAACCTTAAAAGCAGACAAAGTTGTGTATGTTCTTAACTTGTAACTAGTTCCTCAATCCTCTTCCATCTTTATCTTCATCATTTGACCAAAATATGGTTCTAGTTCTACTATTAGCTACACTGTTCTTGAGTGTGCTGTTCATTGCAGGCCTCATAAACATGTTCTTTTACATACCCTACTCCAACAAGATTTGTTCTTGGCTTCCAATTTTCCTTCCCAACAATGCTAATTGCAAAACCAATTTCACTACTGCCAGTGCCACCACTTCACAAGCAAAGAAAGTGGAGAAGGATGAGCTTAGAAAAGTGTTTTCCACGTTTGACAAGAATGGTGATGGATTCATAACAAAGCAGGAGCTTAGGAAGACATTGAGGAATTTCATGACAGATAGTGAGACTGATGAAATTTTTGTTAAGTTTGATTCCAATGGAGATGGTTTGATTGATTTTGAAGAGTTTTGGTTGTTGACTAGTGAGTCTATTATGGGAGATGAGAAAGAAGGTGTTAATGGAAATGAAGGTGGAGAAGAGGTTAATTTAAAGGAGGCTTTTGATGTGTTTGACAAAGATAAAGATGGGCTTATATCTGTGGAGGAGCTAGCTTTGGTGCTTACTTGCTTGGGATTAAGAGAGGGAAAGAAGATTGAAGAGTGCAAAGAGATGATTAAGAAGGTTGATATGGATGGAGATGGTATGGTCAATTTTAATGAGTTCAAGAGAATGATGATTAACTCAGGAAAACTTGTCTTTGCAGCATAGTTGATCACACAGGGCACCACCAATCTCTCATTTCTATTTATTTTTCTGTCCAGATTTACCATGACAACTCAACTCAAAAGTGTGTATTTATCTCATGATCACATCATATCATATTATATTTTATTATATTATATATTATATCTTTTGTAGTCCTTAGAGATACATGACATGTATTAGTGCTTTGATGTGGTTATTTATGTCTTCTTTTTCCCTTTTACCTTTAGTAAGGGATTTGTTTCCTTTAATTTGTGTCTACTTTGTATGGTTATTGGCACCAAATGGCCATAACCATTGCGTGTAGTTGAACTTTGCAATACAAAACTACTATAGTCTTGAAGTACTTTGACTTTAGTTCTCTTCTCCAAGAAATTGGGAAAACAAAATGTAGATATATATGTACTTTTAGTTCCACGTTTGAAAAGTGATGAGGAGAGAATAGGGAAACATATAACTCTGCAAAAACAGATGAAGTTGAACCCCTAAAACAATCATTCTATAAAGTTAAGAACCACCATCATGCACCAAAGGAATTCATACTAGAATCACTGCAAAATTGAAATATCCACTCTTTGCATAAATACTCACTACTCACCATTAATTAAAAAGGTGGAGTATATATAGGACAAATGACATAGAATTGGTGGATATGTTAAAGTTTGGTATGAGCCATAAAAGAGAGATTTCTTGATTAACAAGAAAGATGAGAAAGACATGAATGAGAAATAAAAGAAAACTCAAAGAAAAAGGTTTAAAGAAAACTAAAGAAAGAACGAACTTCTCATTATTGAATGAATAGAATTGAATACAAAGATTAAGGGAACCACCCTTTATATACTACATCTCCTAACTAACAAATACAGAATTACTCAGATAATTGATTAATCGTATAGTTAATCGATTATATACAAAACAAAATAAACAACTATTTTAACATGATACATGATGAAGGATGATATAAAGTTCATTTTTCATATTCTCTATGAATATATAAAGGGATTGAATTGGACAAAGGCCAAAGTTCTAGTTTGATGTATTTGTTGTAGATGATTTTAAGATCTTGGTTATATGATAATATAGTATTGGTTATCATTTTGGTACGTATTTTGTATCTTTTAAGTATAAAGGCTCCCACCAATTAATAAAGTCATACTTTATCTCAACAATCGAATAGCATGAGGGCTTCTCCCTTCAATACTGCCAAAGGTTGAATGCCTCATTCGATGTTGCTGTAGTTGCCATCGGGTGGTGATGGACTTTTCAAGCCTAAATAATTTGTGATTGTTTAAAATCTGTCAGTGCCAGATCAATGATGTGTTGATTTATAGAGATCTAACTCCAACATGGAAATTAAAGAAGTTTTCCATCTACTAATTATGTAAGCAAATTTTACACACTTTAATTTTGCTTCAATGGATCCTAACTCCATCTGAATATGTAAGAAGTCTTATTCAACTCGTAAATCCAATTCACTTCCTCCAACAAATAAATTAAAGCCTGTAAACAACACTACATTGTGGTAGGAAAGCAAGAAAAGTAAAAGGAATTAAGAAAACCACCAATAATGTCATCTTAGTGGTTATATAGGTGGCGACGAAAGCCTTTTTCTCTAGCTTCCATTATTATGCCAGCATGTGCAAATCCAAATTGATGAGATTCAATTGGACCAAATAGCTAGGTTATATGATTGACCTAATATTGTCACAAATTGATGAAAGAAAAAGCTTCAGTAGATTAATTATCACTTTTTCTCCTATTTAAGATTTGAGCCCCATAATTTGTGCCCAATCACCTTGAAATTAGTTTCAATGAGAAGAAATCACGACAAACACATACCCCATACTTTCATAATACTCAGAATCTAGCCAGATAAAAAACTAGCACCAACAGAGAGAGAAGAACATTGTACTTACATGTATCATAGTTCCAATTGCACCTGAACTTCAATGGGTTTGCACGTTACACCAACTTGCTTCAATTCCAGATCGTGCTGAGAGGGAAATGTTTGTTATGATAAGATCAATGAACAAGAATATTCTGACAAGAGAATCTGATGAGGTGGGATGAGTTGGAAAGTCATCAAGTAGTGATATTGGCGCGGCTCAATCTGATATCGTATTTTACTATTTTTACCATGTAAATCCGTATTCGGATTGAACCTCACCAACATCGCTTTCTTTGCTTCCCTTATCCCCAATATCATCATATTCATCAGTAATATTCTCTCTAGAACAGAAAGTTGATCTTATAGATATCCATGTTTGAAAAATATGAATGGGATTTGAAGAAAATTTCAAGTGGTTTTCATGACTAGTTCTTTAATTAATAGACCTATCTTGCTACCAAAAAGGGATGAAAAAGGTTTTTCAATATTAAAGAATATCCTATATGGTCCCATTGTTCACCTAATAACAATTATTAGGCTCCCGTGTTGAAGTAAAGCATGATTCATGAATATGAAATATGATCATGGTGGAGCAAAAGGAAGAGGGTAGTCATATAAGTTTGGTGTTTAGCGACATTACTATAACTAACCAAAATTTAATTTCTCAATTATGGGAGTCACTATCAATGCGTGATCTGGTGCTACCATATAAGTGCTAGCAGAATGCCTAAATGAAACCTAATAAAGTGGAAAGCACAAAACCTATAAATGAATTTATATTCCAATCAAAATGAAGTGGGTTCTCCACATACAAATCACGGTTAAAATAGGGCAAATAGACTAATGATAGAGGAAAAGGGTTTTTAAGCCTTTGGTACTTTGTCGTTATATCTTATAGCTTGAACACTGATTGTGCATGCCCACGTTGATGATGATCAAAATGGAGATTTCTTTCCTTCTGAAGGATGAACGCAACTAACTAACTAACTGGGGTTTAGGCAGACCTCAATTGATCATACATATATATAAAGTATATCATATCTTCATGGTTAGTGATGAATGGAATGTGATAAATATAATAAAATAAATGTTAGAGGGAACCAACAAACAAGTACTCAAGCTTTATGAAGAGAAGGGTGGAAGATGAGAAGTGGAAGTGAATGGAATGGTGGAGAAGTAGAGAATGTATATACTGTCAGGTTTTGCCTCGGTATGAGAAGGTGAAGAACGGATAGAGATCACCTGTCCCAGGATTTAGTGTCCCATTGTGTACCACTCCAATAAAAAATGCCAACTACTTAAGAAAAAAATTATAAAAACATAAAATAGTTTGTTTTGACTACTTGATATGATATAATTGGCTTGGGACATTGGGATATGAACTTTTGGGGACATGAGATCCTTGTCGGTGAAGAAGGTGATGGAATGATGTGAAGGGGGAACAACATTTACTTTCTGGGCTTGTCATGCTTAGTTTGTACTCAATAAAATCAAAGCTACTCTTCTGTCTTAGCGCATGCACCTCAAATATTCTCCACACAAATGAAACACTTCCCAAACACCTCCTTTAATTTGTATCCTATCTTTCTAGCATTAATTATTGTTTTGAACTAGGACCCTTTTTACATCATGATTGCATTTGATTATAGGATTTTGGTGTGAAATCGTGATTTTCTAAAAATATCGATTAAAGTTAGTAAGATACATAGATGGTCTCATGATCAAGGTGAATGACTTAAGGAATAAAGTGAAGAAGATTGTGGGTTCAATTTTCACCTATAACAAATTTAAAAGAATATAAAAAAAAGTTATAAGGTGATTTGATGGTTAAAGAGAATAAGTGGATTGAAGAATGTTGAAGATTAAAATCAGCCCACAACAAATACCAATTTCTGCCCATAAAATCTTTTGCAATGTAATTATATATGATTGTGATCATAATGAGAGTTATATTATATATATTACTATAGTGTAAAACGATTGTGGAAAAAATGCAAGTGATATGATCATGATATAGTTGACCAGCAAACGACTAAACTAAAAATGTAATATTACATTTGCAATTGCCTATCTTAATTACTCAAAAGATTTGTCTATATACCTTCTTCGGTCAAGGTTTTGCTCAATGACAGGCACATGTTGGACCAATGAGGGTACATGTGCACACTCAACTCGAGTTTTTTTTACTACAAATCATAGTTATTCAATTTATTATTGTTGACTATCCAAACTTTTTATTTGTGTGTAATGTGCGATTGGGAACATAGTGCAGAATGTTAGGGAAGGAATTTGTCTAAAAAGAAGTTGGAGAACTTAAAAAGTGTACCATCTAATTAATCAATCTAAATCTAATATTTGAGACAAAGACGCATAACAACTAGGGAAACAACCAAAAGCGCCCGGGGACACCGGCGTCAATGGGGCCTCGACTAGGAGACACTCTTCTTTGGTTTTGATTTCCACTTCCCTTTTTTTCCCTTTCCATTCTTCTCCCACTTCCTCTTTTTTTTAATGTAAGAGCTAAGAAATGAAAGCCAAAGATTATCCTTTGTAATTTAAGTTTTTAAATGATGTCAAGAAACAACTCATGTAATTATAACTTATAATTTAAATTTCTAAAAATATAGAAATAAAATTTGTAAAATATGTTTATCAGAAATTTCTACAACAAAAGCTATGATACAAAAAAACTACCTACTATTTCCTTCAAGTTTGGGCCATTATGGACATAACGCATGAGAATCATGGCAATGGTTCGGTCCATAAACGCAAGGAAGACGTTACGAACTTTAGTGAGTGAACCTCTAATTCATAGTCGGTCGTTAAAATAATTGGATCAATATATTATTATAAACAATACACTAGAATATATATAAAACTCATTACAAAAATCTGATAACTTATATTTTTTTAGTAAAAGTATTTTATTTTTAATATGTATATAAAATATTTTCACTTCATATTCATTACCTAAGGCAACTGAACGTGATAGGGATATATCTACCGTTTCACACTAGATAATTAGACCCCTAAAAACAATATTAAGTAGTAAATAAAACAAGAGTATTATAATAAATGCATATATTTTAACTCCTCCACCATACTAATTCACCACTTTTGGTTTATTTCTCATCTATTTCTCTTCTAACAAGCCCGAGAAATACAAACTTTCTTATCTTCCTCCCTCTATCCCTTTTCTTCCTTCCCCTACTCTCCTATATCAAATAGAGTAATTTCTCGTAGTTCTATTAAATGAACATTAAGAGCAATCAAAATGTCAAATAATTATTTTATAATTTATTACAACTCATAATAAAATAAAAATATTGTCGTCTTACATATTATTTTATAATTTATTACATCTCACAATGAAATAAAAATATTGCCTTTTTCCCCACAATGATAAACATCATTCTTATTCTTATATGCGTTCCACAACCTACCTCATTCTTAACTAAACATCTACCTTTTTTGTTTTCTCTCCTTCTATATATTTATCTCTCATTATTATTATTTAAGAACAAAATTCATAAAATAAGAATACTACACACAAAAACAAAGTAAGAATGAATGATTAAGAACAACCATTTAGATAAGGTTTTTGAAAACTTTCTCCAAATTTAAGATATGTCAATATGTGAAAGCATTTTTAGTTATTGGCATTAGGAAATATGCCTATCTTTGTAGCCAGGGTAAAGGAAGATGCAAACTTTATGAAACCCAAATCCGACAATGGGATCACAAAGTCATAAATCCTGTTCTGTCTTTAAGCATATTTTGTGGAAGTAGTACTAATGCCCGTGCCATATCCAACTCCCTCTTTACTCTCTGTCTCCTGAAGAAGCTTAACCCCTCACTCAATCTTCATTCTTTGCTTCCCAACGCCCAAGCCAGTCAATTAATTACTAGTATTTCACTTCTCTCACGCAGAATACACAAAAGGCTCTTAAGAAGCACAAAAAAGAGAGAGTAAAGATTTGATATATATCTAGTTAAAAATACATATACTTTTATTCAGAAACTAAATATATCACTCATGCATATATTTACTACTATTAAGTATCTATTTAACACCACTAACATTATTCTCAAATTAGTAATTAACACTGTTGTTTTCCTTATCTGGTAGTTTCATACTAATAGCTCCTGCTACTTGTGTTTGGCTTGTTCAGTAACCAACCACACTAAAGAGTAAATATAAATGCAAGGGAAGGACAGCACGCCCCCACAAAGAAAACAATGGAATAAATGCATGTCTAACCAGCACAACCGTAGGCCATGAAGCTCTCTATTAAGACAAACTCTGTGTTCCTCTCACGTCAGCATTCAATAGTGAGAGGAGACACATTTTGAACTAGCTAGTCCATGAATTTGGATTATTTCTATTACTGGAGAGTCCATTACCATATTATGATTTTGCCATGTGTCCAAAATAAAAATTCAACAACCCCAATTTTAACTTATATTTTAATAAAATAAATTGTAATATTCATTTCCACTTGTAATCCAGTACTGGACTATCCAATATCAGAGAGGAGTTGAGCTCCCATACCCTATGCAACCTAGGTGTGCCCTCAACTTATTATTATATGGGTACAAGTTTTATTCTCCCAAACCTACCTACCTCTATCAATCATAATAAACTAAAAATATAGAAAATAATAAATGTTTCAGATATGATATATTTTCATTAATATATTAATATATGTGAGATATAATTTAGTAAAACATATCTTTGTTTTTTGAGGGTCATATAATGTCAATAGAGGAACCTTCCCTGCAATTCTAGACCACCCAACTGGTCAAGCTGAAGGACAAATAGCCATAATAATATTCGTACATTATTACTACTCAGAACTAGAGATAGAAAGTTGTGACCTTTTGGATTTGGATAGGGTTTGAAGTTTGACTTCTTTTTTTAAAAATAGTCCTCCCTCTCTCTTGTTCTCGTGGTTTGGACCATCTAAACACGTGGGGTTCAAGTTTTGCAACGCATGAAGTTTTGTTTCACAAAGGAAAAATGTTTTATGTACTTTTTTTTACTACACTAGCAATAATGCCTTTTTGTTTTTTATACCAAGTGTATTCCCGTATTCATAAAATAACTAATTTATTTTGTACTATGTAATTATTTATCTAAATAACTGTCACTTGAAAAAATAAATTGATTTTGGGCTGATATTTAAGAATCTAGTTGAATATTACTGACCAATGTCACATTGGTACAATGTTTTGATGTTTGTTAATTTTGAAATTAGTGTAATAAAAAATAAATGAGAGATATATATAATTTAGTTTTTGTAAAATAAATATTGTTAAAACTTGTTATTCAAATAACTAACTCAATAAATAATTAAAAGTAGCAAAATATATTGGCTAATTGTGATAAATGAATCAAT